TCCCTCGCTCCGTCCTGTTCCCTACAGTTTGTCCTGCGCGCCGCATCATCGGCGCTGCACCGTCCGCGAGTATCGGCAGCGCGAGACGGCGCGCGGTGCCGCGGCGAAGGGAAGGGGAAACGTCTCTGGACGCTTCTAGCCTAGATCAAAACCCGTAATCACGCCGTAATAACGCCCGATCACGGAAGATATTGCGCATTTCCCCGGAATCACTGCTATTCCCAAGGAAGATGCCCCCGTCGGGGTTGTTTGGGAGGTCTTACTGTTCTCCGACATGCAATCCCGAATTTGCCTGCCGCCGTCGCGCTCTCTCTCTCTCTCTCTCTCCTTCTCGTCGTCGGCCGATTCTTCCACGACGCCGCTCCACTTTGCCCCTGGGTCATCGTACACTCTCTCCTTTCTGATCTTTCACGTACTTGTGCCTACACTGCCTACGATTTCCTTCTATATTTCCTTCTTCCTTTCGCAGCTAGCGGCTATGAATTTGCGAGAGGCTGGTAATCGAAGTATTCCCGTTAAAATAATTTTAGTATCATTTTTTTTTCAGAGATAAAATTTTCAACTAATTTCACAGCAATTAAGCATCGATTTTCTTAAATTAAAGATTCCGAAGTTGCACATAGCATTATCAAATCGAATATATGTGAGCAAATTTTAAGATAATTCAAGTACAAGGAACATAGAAGCGAGAGAACAGCTATTTCACATTTTGTATTGTACCCATCTAACAGTACCAGGAATAAGACAAGATATGCAGGTTAAGAAGAAGACAAAAGAGGAATAAAGGCGCGCACGCATCATTGTGTTCTCATTCGTGCATTGAATTATTGAAAGTTTCAACGTGAGGAAAGAGCCTCTCTATAAACAATCTGCGAATAGCGTTAATTACCCGCGAGCGATACGAGCTATACCGTCTAAGCGTACAGAAATGGGAAGCGGGGATCTTAATGAAGTTCACGATTGTGAAAGATACAAAGTAATCTAAATATTTAATCTAGATTAAACCGAGAAGGCTGGATGAAGAGAGGAACAGACGGACGGACAGACGGACGGACGGGTGGATGAGATATAGTCGACACGGACAACGCGGGCTTAACATTGTACGCTTTTTTACACGGTAACCGAGCGGTTCGTCGGCCGAGCCGGCTCGCGTACGGTCGAGGCTCATCCGAAGCCCCGAAGCCGTTGGGCCCAAGGTGGGCCAGTGGTAGCAGAGAGGTCGTAGGCGGTCGGTTATGCGGGGCGAGGGGAAGGAGCGGCGCGCAGAGGGGGAGAATGGAAAACAAGGTGGAAGAATGCCTCGAGCCGGCCATACCATTAATCATCGGGGTAATTCCATAGATGGCTCTTTGCTGCCCGAAGGAGCGAGCGGTGCATGCCAAACTTACCTCGCGTCCGTCGAACGATCTGCGAAAAGACGCGTTCGTTTCGACCGCGTCTCGTGCCGCCGTCTCGCGATACCGCGTGTCTTTCGTACTTTCGTAAGGGGGGGGGGGGCCTCGACTGATTAACTACGCAATAGTCTCCTGCGAGCGGAAATTTTGTTTCGAACAATCGTTCGATTTAGTTTGATTTGAAATGTATGAGAAATATTTCGATCGAGAATGCTAATCTCCGCGCTGTAACTCTTACGCCCGATTTAAATGCTATCTGCGCATTGCATCTGCAGTTCCAGTATACACATTCTTATCTCGTTACAAGGTGAACGTGACAAAACTGCTTGTCATTTTAATCTTGGCTTCATGTATCACCCGCGTTTCTTTCATATCGGACCACATATTTACGCTGTATTACGAACATTAACGACACGCCAGCTTCGATCACTTTGCGCGTGCATTAAGATTAGTATCGATAGTACACGCCATATAAGCGTTAATCGAATAAGCGCTACGAGGGAGAGACATCGAGAAGAGACATTAGATTCTTTACGCAGATATCATCTACCGTTACGGTTCGCAATTTACGATCGACCGTGCGCATCTAGATTGCACCTTTCTTCTTGTTTTGCTTTATCTTTGTCATCGGCGATATATCCCGTAAAATCTGTGAAATCGCTTTTAATTAAATTGTCAACAAACACTGCAAGTATCGCGACGCAAAATGCGCTATGCAATTCGATAGCTAATCAAATCCATTCATTCTGTTAGTGAACAAGGACCGCATTTCTTAACCGTGGTCAAACGTGAAGTAAACGAGCTATGATCCGAAGTGGCGGGACCAAAATGAAAGAGAGAACGGACGGGCCGAGCAAAAAAGGGCCAGCTCGGGCCCGCAGAGACACGGTGGCCACCGGGCCGTCCGTACGATGTCAGCAGTTTAATCAATGCATTTAACCGAATTCCCGTCTGGCCCAAATAAAAGGCGAGACGAGAGGCGGTTAAGCGCAAAAAACGCCATGCGCGCGACGCGGGCCCGCTCGATCGCTGTCTTCTCTCTCGGCTTCTTTTCGCTCTCGCTTCGCTGTGCTGCGACTTTCGGGACTTCTGCGGCGGGGGCCCCCGCCGTCCCAAAGCTCCCGAAGTCGTTAGGTATTCCGCGAGTGTACTCTTCTGTTTCTCTCCGTCCTCTCCGTCCCCTCCTGGTCGCCACTCTATCACCCCCTCGTCTCTCGTACTCCTCGCGGGAGGAAGCCTCTTCTTCGAATAACGTGTACGTCAGCCACGAAGACGTCTGCGAGACGAAAACCGGTGGCTCCACAAATCTTCCAGTTGGCCCTTTCATTCACTGTTTTACCGCTTCACGAAACTGCCCGCCATAAAACGCCGTCTACGCGATGTCATCTGTATCTCGTTTTCTGTGCTGATTAATTTTTAACATTTTCAATACCGACCGCATCGACGCGGATGAAATTTCGTCTTATTTTCTCAATCTATCTTTCAATCAAACTCGAATAACATTCAAATTTATACGATTCACATTGCTAGTGACATTTTGTTTAACACTAAATATTCAATTAGAAAACTTATTTGACAAAAGATTGCAATATATAACGATGAGAGTATAATATAAAATTTTGTCTACAAGTTATTTCTTAAATATAACCGAGTCATTGATAGTCAACGAGTCGAGCATCCTGTTTGAATCCACTATCTTGTTAAGCATCTTCTAACAGTGGACCTACAGTTATCTCGTGAAACGTGACAAAGAAACCGACGGAGGTAAAAGAGATATCAAGAAGCAACAATCTTTCCGTTAAACTTACCACGTTTCATATTCTTATTAAAAACTCATAAACCTCATAATAAATTTTTGTTCTGTAAAGAAAATATACGCAGACAAAAATCATTATTTTCCTTTCATATGTAGCCTTGGTTGTGTCAAACATTCAATTTAAGGGCGTTAAAGAAAATTGAACGCGGGTATTCCGTTTATCCGAAGAAAAAGACGAGAAAAAACCTGCGATACCTTATTGATTTTTCTTTTTTCTCTTTTTGTGCAGTGATGGACGCGTAACGCCGTGGTCTGACCGCAAGCTCGTTATGCCTGTCGGAAGTATAAATCAACCGCAAAGTTATTTCACCGTGCTGTCGGGAACTCCCCGTAGGGCGCCTCTCTGGAAACTGCTACCACCTTCTTCTTCGAGATATCGCGCAGGTAAGTCCATCTTACGTGATCGTGTCGATTTACAAAAATCGCAACGACGGAAATTGCGAAAATAAGCGTGAATGTGACCGGCCATCCGTTAAAATAATTGCGATAATTTTGATGCAAAGAGGAAAATCAGATCTTTCCTTCATTAATAATTTATATCCATTTTTTATCGCCGTCGAATTTTTCCGAGATACTCCGTTTCTATTCTACTCGGTCGAAGTGAACCGAGTCATGCAACGTTATTCCGTCTAGTGGTAATTAGTGTGACTTATCGCTGCCGTGGCGCCATGAGATTTTGCGGTAATTATAATTTACGGCCACTTAGGGCGTATGCATTGATAGTTTCAACCGTATTCTCTTTCGATTATCTCTCGCCCAGACCGCACGCATGCACACAACATGGGCGCAACAATGAGACACGGCAATAGCGGTGCCCTCATAACACCCTGAGAATCTAATTGTAAGGTAGCCGCGCGAGCAGGTCGCATTTTCTCGATAACAAAGACGTAAGTAATGATAATGTGGTAACGACCCCGGCCGGGGCCGGTACAGTTACTCGCGCAACGGCAAATGCGCGGGGAAAATGATTTCCTAACTAATAAAATCCGAGAGATAAGACGCATGGTTGTAATAAGCTCAGCGCGCTGCACCGGCGTAATACATAATTACCGATCCGGCGAGATCTGATAATCGCATACGCCCGTAATTGGCACCGGTAAGAATAACATTTCCCCGATGACTCCGTCGTTGCTTCTCACGGAAACTAAAAGCGAGAAACGTCTGGTCAAACACACAAATATACTCCCGTTCGAGCAGATTAATATTGTTCGAATAATAACGATAAAACTGTTAATCCCGCTAAACCGACAAGAAAAATTGGAAAACTTCAAGACTATTGTTCGTGCACAGTGGAGCAAAAACTTAAAAAAGTCGAGTTCCGAGTAAACCCGGAATCGTAGGATAATCCGAGATGATCGCCTAATAGCTTTGGGAAAGAATCGACTGGGGACGACTACTTTAAATTACCATAAGCCCTGACTCTCCCCGATTAACGAGCGGAAGAGACGAGACCTCAAAAGTGTTGTAACTAGCCGGACTAAGGGGAATGACAAAAATCGAGCGAGATTATTGCCACGCAACGATATTATTGCGCTTAACGTATAATATGCGAGAAGTGTGGTAAAATTCAAACGAAATTTTAATCAAACCGTAGAAATAATTTATGAATTATATCTTTACAGCTGAGTATTTATATTTCGATCGACATTTCACTAACAAATCAACCGTAAATGTAAATTTATATTTTTTTTTAGCAGTTACACAGAGAATTTCTCAGCGATCATCACACCTTTTCTCTTAGCTACGGATTCTCTATTCTGTAGCCAAGAGAAAGCACGCGACATCTGATACACTCTACACACGTTTTTAATTAATTAATAAATGAGCACGCGTTGACAACGAGCGTGTGAGATCTTATTAATTGAATACATTAATAAAATGCATGAGGAGCGTCAGAATAATTTTTCAGTTGCGCGTTTCTAGTCGCAATCGCAGCGTATAATGCAGATCGATATACACATCGTAACGCATCGTAGACATGGCATCAAAACAACATTTTTTCAGTCAGCGTCAGTCCAGAGACTCTCTTACGATCATATCGGTTATCCTTCCGTGTGCTAAAATTATCTCTCGGTTTCTTCTAATTTAACGGCGCGAGGGGCACACACACACACACATACATTGCGCGCGTAGCGTTCCAGTTACGCACCGCTAAAATTTAAGAACCGCGCCTTCTTTAATTGGCCTCAAACAAGAGTGATTTACGATCACAGGAAAAAAGAAAGTATCTCGTTTCTTTCACGCTTTTCCCATTGAGATAACAAATAACAGGTGCTTAATTTAATATTTTAACGCAAAAGCATCTTAATTATATGCCTTGTCGCGGAAACGTTCGATGAAAAAATTTTACAAAGTTTAATCATCACCCGCAGATAAGATTCATATCGTGAAATCAAACAGTTGACGAGGAACTCATGATGCTAAAAGAGACATCGTGAAATTCGCTCTTTCCGAGTCCACTGAAAGTCGTAAAACGACCAGCACCCACGTAGAAACTGGTATCACGTACCGCCATACTACGACCAAACCTTTTGTGTGCTCGCGTGTGTATTATTACGTGTACATACAGTCGTTCTCACAAATAGTCTTGAGAGTCGTGTCTCGCGTGGTCGTTTCAAGCCCTAAATTTTGCTTTAAATCACGGAAATATTAGATAAGCCCTCGGCTGAAAATATAGCCTGCCGCAAAACGTTTCGCAATCTCCAATTTTTGTGAAATTCGAGCGAAAACATTTAGGCGCTGCTTATTCTTATTATCTTTTTTATCACAGGTTGTAATGATCTTTACAACTATAAAAATATCTCTGTCTTCCACATTTTCCATAATAATCTACCTTCTATTCTATTATATTGCATACATTTTTACCATAAATGAATTAATAGCGATATAAATGGCATTAAAATATGAAAATAAATATATCTACTATTTTTTCTCTAATTTAGTAAAACTTTTTACGCTAATGTTGTCGTCAACAATATGGTCTTATTCGCGGTAGAGACTGTACCATACACGTTCCACTGTACGTGCCTCCGTCCATCCGTCTGTCATGAGTGCGTGCGCGACGTCCGGGCTCGTCGGTTTGTCAGAGGATGCTAGCTTGTTTGCTTTGCTCGATCATGGGACAAAAGTCGAGTCTACGTCTCGTGGGAATGTAGAAGTCACGCTCGCTCAAAAATCGTACGCCGTGAGCTGCACGTATTAATCGAGCTCAAGTAGTGCATAGCAATGGTTCAACTTGAGAATCTCAAAGAACATGAAACACAAGAAATATGCGTTTCACGATTATTAATAATGAATAATGATGTTAATGAATAATGACGATAACAAGTTTTATATATAACATTATAGACAGAATGCAATGTTTCGAAGCAACAGAAATTAATCAGATAAAAAAAAGTTACTAGAAAACGATTAAAATACGATATGTAATCAATATTGACGTTATCGGAAAATATAATAAAAGATTTAATTGATTCTTGTAATATGTCAAATTTATTACTTTACGCTGCGTATCGCACATTCTAATAGTTGATCAAAATCATGTAAAATTGAAAGGCATTTGCGGAGACACGTACTTTTCTCATTATCGTAAATTTATAACATCAATAATTCTGTCAACACACAGTGAAATCAGAAATTGAACAAAATAAGACAAAAATAATTATTTAAAAACCTAGATATTTCTTTTAATATGCTTTAAAAAAGTTTATATTTATATTGATATGTATTAAACACAATTTAGTTGCAAAGAAAAATTGAATCGTTGATTTGACACTATTAAAAAATTGTCATTTTGATTAAAAAAAATACTTTTTTTCCATTTCTCGTCCGGGATTAATGATTTTGTCTTATTTTGATTTAATTTTGGCCCTGTGTGATAATAAGAGAGGCGAGAAACACAAGAGTAATGATAGTAATTAATAATAATGCTTCGTTTTTCATTAACCGTCGCAATCACGATTTCATGCGAGCATGAATATATGACGCGCATTAACTCGTGCGTCATACGAATAGTTATTCCAATTATCACGTGATACGTGAAAGTATTTCGCACTTTTGCGGGAAGGATCGCGCAAGTAATAGAGACACCGAGGTACAGATCGCATCGGTTGTAGCGTCACCGGTCAGGTGCGTCGCTCCGTCCTTCTTTCTCTCATGTCGGACGTGCATCCTGACACGGTGCACCTGTCCGCCGTGGCGCGCAGGCTGCCCCGTTTTATAGAAGGCTACTTCTCTCTATCGCCGATCTATCAAATTGGCCCGACAGATAAGAAATTAGGGGAAGCGGTCGTGCCTTAAAAGCGCCCGTGACGGGACACCCCGGCTGTTATTTGGCCAGCGTCACCCTCGTCTCGCTCTCGGAATTTTACGGCTCTTAGCGTCCCGATATCACCTGCTACTCGATACCTCCGAACAGCGCCCAACCGACACTTAAGTTATCATCGCTTCCTTGAAGCTGCCTCGATTTCCTCTAACGATTATCTTTTGCGATATATATATATTTCCGAGATTTCAAAGATTTAAAGCAGAGATAAATTGCATTTTTGAAATTTACTATATATCGCGAGAGAAATTTATATTACGCAACGCGCGATGCTTTCTGTTTTTTTCTAAATTTGTTCTCTTACTTAGAAAACCCGGCATTTCGCGCTCGGAAGAACATTCAAACGTTCAAAGTACACTCGCGAGTGTTTGCGAAAAGGGCAACAAGTAAATTGACGGCGGCGTTTCGAGAAATGGAAACGCGCAACGTGGGATAATTAACTTGATTACGCGGCGTGTTTTATCGAAAAATCATAAAGCAATTAATAACGTTCATTAGAGACGACCGTGCGCGCGATAATAATTCCGTTTGATAGGTAATTAGACGAGGGAGCGAGTAATTGCGTTAATTGAGACCGAGACCGAGCGTGCGTTGCGCAAAGCTTGGCTAGATATATGGAACCGTTCCACACGCACGCCGCAGTCTGTAATCGCTCTAATCGCGGTTCTTCTTGCTTGGAAATACTTCGCCTCGCCTTTGGGCTCGTTCCAGAGCCCTTTCGCCTGCACGCTTTTCTTTCTTCCTGCGAAAGTCACGCGAAAAAAGTTAACTGCCAACGATCTATAGAGATCGTTCTAACTTTTGCGCTTAGCACCATGCACAGTCGCTAGCGATTTATAGCAATCTATAACTGTGCGCAAATCAATTATTGCTGTACGTTATTTTTAAAATAAAATAATATTTATATCGAAAAAAATTTGTCTTTGTACGAATAAAATATTGCTGCTAATCTAGTGGTTTTCAATATCTAAAGTTTTAATCAAAAGAAAAGATTACCTGTGTTCTATTGCTTATTTATATTTAACACTTTTAGATATATCTAATCTGCATTTTTGTATTT